TTCATCATATGGATTTGATGCTTCTTTGTACCAGTTAATTCTTATTCTGATTTCTCTCTGTCTAAAGAAAGCTCTGGGGCCGAGCCCATGGCGCACTCGGGAGAGTGCAGCGCTGGAAGCACGGCAGCGCTCCCGCCGCAGGTTCGGATCCTATATAGGGATGACCGGTGTGTTCACAGCGCTCACTGGTTGAGCGCAGTGCGGCCGGTCTCAAAAAGGACAAAAAAAAAAAAAAAAGAAAGCTCTGATGTCATTAAACCCTCAAACTGTAGGATTAATATTGTCAATGTACATTTTATTATTGAAGGCAATGACTGTCATGAATTATAATCACTTCTTTTTTTCTTAAATGACAAATACATGAGGTAACACAATCATTTCTATTTTGGCTTTTTAATAATTTGATTGGGCAATGAATATTCACACTTATAGTTTCTCTACCACATTTCTAGGTTATTCTGTGTTCCTGAGTAACAATCCCTGTTCCACTCCTCTTTCCATTTTAGTTTTTGCCATGGAGTGATCCCTTTACCCATTGTTACCTTTCAGTCATATAGTCTGAAGTAAATGTTTGTACTCTACCCTTGCATTTTCTGTGTTAGCCTATGCTGTGGTCTGAATGTTTGTGTCCCCCTAAATTCATATGTTGAAATCCTAACCCACAAGGTGATGGTATTAAGAGGTGGGGCCTTTGGGAAGTTCTTTGGCAGAGCTCTTATGAATGGGATTAGTACCTTTATAAAAGAGGCCTGAGAGAGACCCCTTGCCCCTTCTACCATGTGAGGACACAGCAAAAATACAGCTGTCTGTGAACTAAGAAGCAGACCTTCACTAGACAACGAATCTGCTAGCACCTTGATCTTGGACTTCCCAGCCTCTGGAAGTGTGAGAGATAAATTTCTGTTGTTTGTAAGCTACCCAGTTTATGGTATTTTGTTATAGCAGCATGAACATACTAAGACAGCCTGTTTTCCTCTTTTCCTTTTTTAATAAGTCATCAAATCTATTTAGAATTTTTTCTTACTCTGCCCAAATAGTATAATTAATGAGGTACTAAAAGGATTGCATTCCAAGGCAGTTTGATTGTTTGAAACCAAAGGTAGTGTTTTCTGCATTCAGTTCTGAGATTAAAGCATTGATTTTTCCATCAGTATGTACTATTGTTGATGGGAATGCTGAGATTCCAAGGACAGGAAGGTTGAGAATAATGGAGTTAGGGCTGGCTGGTTAGCTCAGTTAGTTAGAGCATAGTGCTGATAACACCAAGGTCAAGGATTCTATCTCTGTACGAGCTAGCTGCCCAAAAAAGGAGAGAGAGAGAATAATGGAGTTAGAGAAACCAAAGAAGGTAATTATTGATCTTTCTAAAAGGTTGCTTTAAGAATTAAAGCTAAATTGTTTTTCTGATTATAAAAGTGATTATAACTGATTTGTTACATGTGACAGTTATTTAATGATATCTCTGCATTTTGTAGTACTTTCTTATTAAGGGTTTTCACATTATCTCATTTGATCCTATGACAACTTTGTGAAGTTGTCTTATTTTTATCGCACAGATGACAAAACTGAAGATCAAAGAGATTAAAGTAAACAAAAGTCACACATCTTTAAGTGGGGAAGGTGGGCCTAGAATTTGGGATTTCAGTATCAAAGTCCTGTGGTTTTTCAGCTACCCTCACTGCTTTCTTCGTAAACATGGAGTAATTTCCCCTTGTTGACAAATTTAATGATTCCTAGATGATGGTATTTAGCGATTGTGTGGTATGGGGGGGTTATGCATGCATGTGCACATGCGTGCACTTACACACATTGGTACAGTTCTTCCTATTTCTGATTGCACCATCTGGGGCTTTTTTTTCCTTTCCAGTTTTTAAAGATAGTTCGCAGAAAGACCTGCTGAATTTTACTGGCACTATTCCTGTGATGTATCAGGGTAAGTGTAGAACTTGAGAAAATGTGGGAGTTTTCTAAAAGAGCAATTTGGTTAATAGGAATGTGCTTTTGTTTATGCCATAACAGTCTTAAAGTATTTTTACATGTGTATGATCTATACAGAACCTAATAGGATCTGGCAGGATGCTGTCCCAGTCAAGAAAGGCCTAGGAATTCGGTTAGAGTGCGGCCCTATCATGCCAAGGTCACAGGTTTGGATCTCCATACCGGCCAGCTACCAAAGAAAGAAAAGAAAAAGAAAGGCCTAGGATTAATGTCAAGTTCAGTTCAGTTCCACAAATACTTACTTATTGTCAACTGTGTTCCCGCTACTCTGGTAGATTCCAGGGTACAGGGGAAAACAAGACAAACGTAGGCCC